ACTTCAAGACGACCGGACAGGCCGCTTAGCAGAACGAACGTGTCTGCTTCACATGTCAGTGTTTTAGGCCCTGCCATTGGAAATCGCGCATTGGGTTACACTTTGCCGGTCTTTGTGAACGCCGTTTGAAGTGAGCGGTGGGGGTGGAAGGCAGAAGGTGGAATGGTACATGGCACGCACTAGGTGGAGGGCAGAAGGTGGAATGGTACATGCCACGCACTAGGTGGAAGGCAGAAGGTGGAATGGTACATGGCGCGCACTAGGTGGAAGGCAGAAGATGGAATGGTACATGCCAAGCACTAGGTGGAAGGCAGAACGTGGAATGGCACATGGCACGCACTAGGTGGAAGGCAGAAGAGGGAATGGTACATGCCAAGCACTAGGTGGAAGGCAGAAAGTGGAATGGTACATGGCACGCACTAGGTAGAAGGCAGAAGCAGAATGAATCTGCAGTTGGAGATGGTATGTACAGAACGACATCCACCCTGTATGTAGGCAGAAGCGAAACCAGTCTGAAAGATTTAGCAATGTGGATTTTGTATCACATTGCTAAAACAGTTACATGCGAGTTTGAAACATCCATGGAGTGTCTAGCTTGGAAACGTTTGGTGAAATACGCATATTTCCTAGACAGCCATACAACTGTATAATTTCGGCCGTGGTAATGTGTCGAGTTGCCTGCTCAATGGTTGCTTAACACGCGCTCGGGTGGGGGGGTGGGGGTGGGGGGTCAAACTGACAGGTCATTGACCTAAAATGATCCTGGTCGACAATTTGTTTTGGGAACATACTGCCAAGCGTAATCTTTGTCGCTTATTCAAAGGAGAAACTCAGAGCAGTCCTGCATCATTTTGGTCACCATGACCTCCAAAAGATCAAACAAGGTCACTGACCTCAAATGGGCTGGTGGCCTTTTGCTTAGACACATTTGCCTAGGTTCTGGGGGCACTTTGGGGACCAACCTGGAATTTGACCTTGTTTGACCCATGTGACCTGAATGTCATGACTTAAGAAGCTCAAACTTCGACCTAAATGAGTTCACGAACAGGTCAAGCAAACTGGTGTCTCTAGCTTTCTTAGTTCCTGAGATCTCAGGAGGGGGGGGGGTCAAATTGACCCCCCCCCCCTCCCACCCACCCGGGCGAAGGGTATCTAGCCGGCCACCCGGGCGCGTGTTAATAAACGTAACTTCCACTCCCCCACCCAACGGTCGGAAAACATTTGTTTCGAAATCTGTCATGTGAATCGTCATTGAAGAAATATGCTTAACAGCTTAATTGGTGTTATGGCTGCATGGTAGCCCGAAGTCAGACCAATTCAACAAACCTGTGCCGACCTTATCATTAATATTTATATCTCTGACGGCTAAATATATCATGCTCATTACATTCGAACTGGCTTCATCCCAATCTGCATGTGTCAAAGTTCGCGCTTTTACGATGCGTTACACTCTTTCAGTATGTCGTCAGAAGAAGAACTTTCCACTGGTTCACCTGTATCGCCTGTTATCGCACATCGCATTTATACCTTTTGATTAAGTGGGCATACTATGTGTTGTCAGGCGCTGCGAAGCCTTAGTAAGCCAACTGACGTGCTGGACAGGCGATTTTGGAAGGTGGTGGTGGAACGGGAGCGGTGCCCCACCAACCGGCGTGAGCGCATCTCCAATAAGAAGAGAGTGGAGCGCTACCGCAACCATTTCAAACGGAGCACCGCATTCGAAAGGTATAGTCGCCTTAGAGTCGCAAGTGGGTAAATATTTGGCAGTTGGAGTATCGGCTCAAAGAGCCTGAACTTTTGCCTTGAAGGCTTGAAGCTTGTACATCGCACATCGCATTGTATGATATATTTAAGGATTATGAAGACAACTTATTCCATGTATTGGATTGACGTTCTGCGGTACACTGAGCACGCAATTCAGCGGTACCAGCTACAAATTCAGTCACCCGCAGTTTTCTTTCATGAGCATCTGGCAGGGAAGGGTTAACCTGGCCCGCCACAGTCGTGCCGGAGCGCTGAAATGCCTGATGATACTGTGTTCGTAAGAATGTCATAGATGCTTTTGCCCGATGACCTGTGCTATAATGCATCTAATGACTCAAACCCATGCATTGCAAAATATTCCGGATAATGCACTAGTGCAGCCATGTATTCATAGTCTTTGCTGCTGTGTACATTTCCGTTACGTTTACATGATTTTCAGTGTCAGTGATAGTTTCATTATTTACGCAACTGTCATTTTAAGTGCTACGGCCATTTCACTCGAAACACTCGTACCTAAGACTGCCACTTCGTAGAGGTTCGGAGATTAAACATTTCCCAAGAGGCAAGTTCTGGCTTCTCATGCTATTTATGTTCCACTCCACACTGTTGAGAGATTTGTGAAACGTTACGTCGTGGGCACCAACAATGGCGCCTCTTCGCACAGCGAAGCCAGCGCGAACCGTTTCTGCTTATTACATCACAAATAGTCAGTTATTTGCGAACTTCGTGACAGTTTGACAATAGCTTTACTGCGCTCTCTCAATGCGGGTAAGGGCTTCTCCCCCTGTCAGTCGCTGGGAAGTCTATCGATTGAACAGTTTTGGAACCGTCACTGAGTTGCAGCAAGTTGTAGCTAACGCATTTGCTTTCAACATGCATATTGTGTCAAGTTTCTAGCTGCTTTGGCTGCCAGATCTAACATCATTGTTTGAAAATGGCTTTACATGGTTGGGTCCTTGGTTTGCGCACTACAGAGCGTGACTCTGCACGCACCGCCTACGCTTCTGGATACGCCTGCCCGTCTCTGAGCACATATATTGGTTTCTTTCCGCTGCGACGCCCGTCCTAGAGGTCTGGATCGAGTGGACTCAGGCTCGTTTTCTGCAGCTGTTCTGCGAATTTCAGGTGCTATGTTAATCAACTGAAGAATTGTAATGTTGGTAATATTGCAGCAGTGCAAAAGAAAACGCCGTCTGATAAAATAACCAACATTTAACACACGCCCGGGTGGCCGGCTAGATACCCTTCGCACGGGTGGCGGGGGGGGGGGGGGGCAATTTGACCCCCTGAGATCTCGGAAACTAAGAAAGCTAGAAACACCAAATGTACAGGGTAAGTTGACCTGTACGTGACATCACATAGGCCAAAGTTTCAGATCCGTTGGTCATGACCTTTGGGTCACAAATAGTCAAACAAGTCAAGTTCCAGGTTGGTCTCCAAAGTGCCCCCAAAACATAGATAACGGTTTCTAAGCAAAACTTCACATACTCATTCAAGGTCAGTGACCTTGTTTGGCCTTCTGAAGGTCAAGGTGACCAAGATCATGCAATATTGCTTTGAGTCTTGCATTTGACTTAAGCGACAAAGATTACGCTAGGCAGTATGTTCCTAAAACAAAATGTTGACCTGGGCCATTTTAGGTCAATGACCTATTCTGACCTATAAGAAGTCCATGGAAGATGTATAATACGGTTCCTGGTATCAAAAAACTCGAAATGAGCACCAGAACCTATCTCATACAGCAAGCCCTAGAGTAACAAAACAGGTTGGTTTTGACCTTGGTGTGACCGTCATGCCTGACCTTAGGTCAATGTAATTTTCTCATTCATCTGCTGTGTTGCCTACGAAAGCATCTCAGAGATGGATGGCTTTGTCTACTCCGTTGTTGGATCAGATTGGATGATTCCCTAGAAATTGCCTTTGCTGAAACCATGGCCTGGCTTTGACGCACCATAGGTCAGCGACCTGACAAGAAACATCTAATTTTTGTATGCCAAACGATCCGCCATTCAATTGTCTATAGCTATGCAAAATTTGGCGCGCCTTCGCCGCGCCGTTGGGAAGCTATTCTGGAAAAATCTTCGAGGGATCAATTTGACATAAAGCCCGTCAATTTCTGGTAACTTTGCTGCTCAGAAATGTCCCTGTTAAGGGGAACATAACTGACTGACGTCCATATGGCTGATTATTATGGCATATGCGTGTTCAAGGTGCGTGCTGGATCTCCTGGCGCCGAGTCGAGTCCTTTGACAGCCGACGCCTACCGACAACCGACAACCGACAACCGACAACCGACGCCTACCAACATCCACCGGTGGTGCCAACGCGTCAACCGCTTCCGCTGCATTCATCGTACCCAGCCGAAGAAGTGTCTCCAACCCGTCCACCGGCCGTTGAGTCGCAAGCAGCTGCATCGCTGCACTGTATCCAGGCAAAGCAGCGCCATGGAGCCGTCCACCAGCCGCTGAGTCGCAAGCAGCTGCATCGCTGCACTCGTATCCAGGCAAAGAAGCACCTCGGAGCCGTTGTTCGCCGTGCCCGGGAACGGGCAAATAGAGCCCGCCAAGCACCGCAAGTGACCGTACAGACAGGCGGTGACACTACTGAGGGGAAGGAGGCGGACGTCGACCCAGTCGCTGCCAGCAGTCCTGCGGCGATGAGTGCCACACGAGCCCGCCAGGCACCGCAAGTGAACGCGCAGGCAGGAGGTGACACTACTGAGGGGAAGGGGGCGGACGTCGACCCAGTCGCTGCCAGCAGTCCTGAAGCGATGAGTGCCACACGAGCCCGCCAGGCACCGCGAGTGAACGCGCAGACAGGTGGTGACACTACTGAGGGGAAGGGGGCGGACGTCGACCCAGTCGCTGCCAGCAATCTCACAGCGATGAGTGCCGTACGAGCCCGCCAAGCACCGCAAGTGAACGCGCAGGCAGGTGGTGACACTACTGATGGGAAGGAGGCAGACGCCAGCCCAGTCCCTGCCAGCAGTCCTGAAGCGATGAGTGCCACACGAGCCCGCCAGGCACCGCGAGTGAACGTGCAGACAGGTGGTGACACAACTGAGGGGAAGGGGGCGGACGTCGACCCAGTCGCTGCCAGCAATCTCACAGCGATGAGATTGCTGGCAGCGATTGCCGTACGCGCCCGCCAAGCACCGCAAGTGACCGCGCAGGGACGCGGCAAATCGTGGGACGGTGTCCAGCAGGATGCCGACGCTCTGCAGTCTTTGTCACCAGGGGAGCGGCTCATGGACGACGTCATCAACAGCTACTATTTTGCACCGGCGTGGTCGTCTGGCGGTAGGGTGGTCAGCTTTGCCACGTGCTGGCAGGAGTCCATGATGGCCGGCCGTACCAGCGAGATGCTGCGCGAACACCTGGAAGCTCGTGACGCTCACCTTGGAATGGTTTGGCTGCTGCCCTACCACCGGAACGGAAACCATTGGGCGCTGTACATCGTGGCCATAGCGTCCAAGACTATCGTGTACATGGACTCCCTGCACCTTCGGCCCAACAGACTGGACATCGCCTTCATTTAACGGATGGTGGAGGCGGTCGATATGGTGTAACCTGACCGCAGGCCAGCAACCGACCGAGAGACCGGGTGGGGACGTTGGAGGCTGGTGGTCCCGGACAAAACTCCTATCCAGCCCGATGCCTTCTCCTGTGGTCCACGCGTATGCTTCTACGCGGAAGTCGAAGCAACGGGCGTTGGCCGTCGTTTCAACGATACTTCCATGTGACTCGAAATCCTAGGCAGGATACAAAGTATAGTGGTGAGTGATCTGCGCGCGACTGTCCCTAAAGGTCATGGCTCATTTCAGTCAATTAATATATATGACATAAGGTGTATACGCCATATAGACTTAAATGCAAGTCGACATATGGCTCACACCCGACACGCGACGCGACTGCATAAGTGGTTGACCATGTTTGGGATGCACAACGTTCGCAGATGCACTGATAGAACCATTCTGCCTGAGCCTGAAACATTTTATTCATGAAGGTATAGGTAAGATATATTGGCATAGAAGTGGATTGATATATATATATATATATATATATATATATATATATATATATATAATCAATATCGATGACGCTGGACCAGAAAGAAAACCTACGCAACGACGGATCCTATGCAAAATGCCTGGAAAACACGAAATAGTAACGTAAGAATGCAAATAACCTTATACGTCGAAAATTTAATAGGACCGGCATTGGTTTACAGACGAAGACCAGGCTCAGGAGCGTCACGCTCGGCTTCAACACCAGAAAGGAGCTAGAGATGCTAATGCCGAGCCTCCGGGAGGTCCAGAACATTGGTCATCCTGTGTCGTTCCTCCGCGACCTACAACTGGCTTCAGGTAAACCCTGCTTGTGAGAAGTTTTCACGCCGCCGGTCATCTAGCTGTGCCAGCCGTTACCGTAGAAATCCCAGACACTCGAACGGGCCCTGTCAATGCATCGTGACACGCTTCATTAATCACCTTCTGGCGCCGCCTTCCACACGCACGAGGTTTGCGTTCTGTGATGCGGTTTGCGGGCAACGAAACACGAAATGCATAAATACAAGCACAAGTGTGCACATCATTTACTTGACAAAATGGACCGATAAACTCAATGGTAAAGCTAAGTCATGGGAAATGAGCCCTAAATGCATGACTGCTGATGATTCGACCTAAGCTTGATGACCATACCTAGAATGATCGCGCGGCCCAAACTGAGCAAAAATTCTCACAGATGCATTTCACACCCCGCTGAGGTCAGGGCACGAAAGTGCCCGAAAGGGCCGGTCTCCACAATCCGCGTTGTGCTTGATTCGGAGCTGGCTGTTCCCCCTCCCCTTCACGCAGGCGCATAACCCAACTGTAACAACTGGGACGCTTGATGGGACATTCTCGGTCACCCGGCCGCCGGGCCTCGGCTTCAGGCCCGGTGTAGCCGACAGTCAACGTGGCCGTCGCCGGGGGACAGGCACCCGAACTTCCAGTGGTGCCGTGCCTCGCCGCTCAGGAAAAACGGCTCCCACAAGCCGTTCCGCGATGCCGTTCCGCAGAGGGACACTGGCGCCGCGGCCGCTAGAAATATGTGACACTTGTGCATAGGCGCACCCAAAATTTCACCAGCCGGACACAACTCCAACGTTTTCACTGTAAACTGTGGTACAGCCCCCGCCGTTTCTTGCGTATCTTGAACTGCTGAAATGGATGTTGCACGTTCTTGATCTTCTCGTTTTTGCGGACTTACATGCAGTTTTCAGCTTCCAGCATACTGTTACGTACGCATGAATACATGACCTTAAATTTGGTAAGGGGATGGGTAGGATGAGGTGCATATACCTACATGGGGGGGCTCGCTACTTAGCCCAATATTTGTCTCGGAGTAAGGTCAGAAAGAATTTAATTTTGCATAGTTGCAAACATTCCTCCGTTGGCTCCCAACTCGAAACGACTGTGCTGCTCTGTCCACCTCTTTTCAGTTAACAGCATCTTTTTGTCTTCTGCTGTCTTTTTTGCACATTCATACATATATTCGCTTCCACAGTACCTGTGGTCTCAGGCTGTGTCATTGTGCTTGCATCTTTGGAACTTGTGCTTTTTATTTGCGTCTTTGGCTGCCCCAGCTAGGAAGCTCTGGCCGGTGTCCGTGGCTGCCCCAGGATGTTCCATCTGATCCATCCCCTTGGCCGTCGGCAGGTGTAAGCATACCTGATTTCGCTGCTCGAGCTGAAATAGGACACTCTGCGGCCGGCGTTCGGCATCAGCCAAGTATCCGTGCTGCTAACGCCGGTGCCATTCCAGGCGCGTCACGGTGCCACGCTGCCCGCCGCCTGCCACAGCCAGCCGGCCAAAATGAAGTCCAACGACGTGGTCATGGTGCTTCTCGCGGAGGTTGTCTTCAGTGCGGCGCCTGAGACGGATGAGCCCGCCGAGGGATGCGGACCGGCGCGGGATCACGGAAGGACTGGATCGGACGGTGCTCGTTCAGAGTATGTCGCGATGGTGGGTCCCACTTGTGGGTGCAGTGCAGCCAGCGTTCCAAAGCTCATTCAGTGGGGTGTACGGGATTTAAACATAACTTAATGCTACCAGAATCCTAGCTATCCGGCGGCGGCCCCGCACGCAGTTCGTTCGCGCTAATGCATGCCCTCGCGTTGCCCTTTGACCCGACCCAGACACCTGACCTACTCAGTTCATTTGCCAAGCCTGAGGTGCATAGATACTGGCTTCACGGCTGCGCAGTTCGATGCTGATTGGCTGATTTTGAACAAGCGGATGGGCAGTCAGCAGTGAGCCACAAGCCGGGGTGTAATAGCATGAAAAATATACACATACATGCCACCCAAGTGACCGAATATTAAAACACCGGGCTGAGCCGTCGATTCTCGCGACTTTGAAAGTCAAGCGGCCTTTAGAACGCGGTGCATAGCCACTGTGAACGCTTTCGCCATTTTCCTTGCTGCCGCTGAGAACAGGCTGTCAAGTATCTGTGGTGACAATTTGAACCATTCCAAGCTCGCTGTGGTTGCTATGAACTGTCTGCCGAATATTTAAAATGATTATATCTGGTAAAGATATTGCTCACAAGTGACATATCAGAGTGGTTGTGTTACTTGCTGAATTAATTCGGGATCTTTCTCTACACTCTTGTATGTGGTATTCATGCTGCAGAATTCTGCCAAACTTTGGTCTCCATTTAGATGCGTTCAGCGCGATGTGCGTAACACTTGGTGATGTTTGCACGACATATCTTCAGCTCATGTTACGACGTAGTGCAAATGGCATAAAATAATAATATTTCACGTTTTGGTGGCCTGGCTTGCTGATAAGTTATGTATGGTAACAGGCGATGTTTTGTAAAAGTCCACGTCATTGAAGCCTGTCTTGTCGCGACGCCTGCGCCGATCGGTGGTCTGACGGGGCACTGTCGTGTTTACAGCTGTCAGCCCAATCCCGGGCCTGCCACTGGCCGTGTCTCGGGAGCAGGCGTCTGGCAATCCGTTCCCCATTGTGATGCTGGTTCACCTGATTCTGCTGACGCGCTTGCTGATGGTTGAGCTGGTCCCGTTCGGCCAGCTGCTGGCCACAGCGGCAACCGACCACAACGGGTCGGAGACTAACATTTTCAAGAGGCCGCGAGACAACACGGGGTCAGGCGAGCTGACATATGCCTTCTCTTTTCAGGGTGAAAACGCGCTTGATCTTCGTGGATCCAGTTTTGAATGTAGACGAACTTACTGGTGCATAATTTGACATTAAATTCACTGGAGGGGATAGCCATATGCATAGTCGGTAGATGCGTGTTGGGGAAGCCAGGCTTCAATGCGCTTTGGAATACTGGAATTCGCGTTTGGGCCTGTCCGTGTCAGTTCACTGGAGAAGGTCAGTTCGCGAGATGTGAGTGATAACCGTGTGGTATGTGCTATCATTGGCATGGTGGTATGGCCCAGTGGCATCCTTCTCAGCTTTGTTTCGTCTCTGACCTTTAAGGTGGTGGAGTAACAGTCCGACGTAGTCATTGCCATCGTTTGTCCTGACCAAAAATTGACAAGATGTCGCTTGTGACCACACCAATCGTGCCACACCGCTGGGGCCTGAAGATTTGGGTGATGTCACCGTCTGTCTTATCTCCCAAGGACGCTGGTGACGCTGGTGGAGTAGCGCATGCCCCTTGTGCACGCCATGCCCATGTTGTTGGCTGGCCGGCCACATCAGCCCGCTGCTGCTGACCGTGGTGGAGACGCCGCACTACACGAGCCAGCCGGACGGCGGTGGCGATACGCCGGTGGTCAGGGGGCCCGAGCAGCTGATAGCCGGCTGCGTGCCGAAGCATGAGACGGCGCACGACCTGCGACGCCGGGCGCTGATTGCCACCGACCCCGTCCTCACCCAGGTGCTGACGGCAACCAGCCTCGTCCCCACGCGTCACCTGATGGATTTTGTTGCCCACATCCCGCACTGTGTCACGCAGGGGATCAGACTGGGGATGGAAACGAACTGGGGCTGCAGCCATCTACCGTTGATGATTCTCTTCCTCCGTGAAGCGACGTTTTTACTGACATTGCCTGTTGCGCGTTCGTACTCCTGTGATGGCCATCATGCGAGATGACTGGCTGCCTAGCGGCGAAGATGTGTGGCAGGATCAGCGTGCTGCGGTGCGTCAAACTTTCACAGGAGCGCGGCGTGTGTGTCCCCAAGAATAACAAGAATCATAAGTGCGAAAGAAGCAGGTAATGGTAGCCTTGAGAATGGCGTTTTAGAACTGATTTGTTGTGAGGTTTGATGTGCCTAGCTAATATTCAAGCACTGTGTCGTAAGTTTATTTCCATATGCCGAAAATGTAATTCAGTCAAACTCTTGTAGGGTGTTGTTTGTAACGTAACATAGACTTCGCAGGTGTACAAATAGCGGATAACAAAATTTAAGCTTTATTCAAATCCCAAAGTAGTCGGCTTTTCACGGACCCACGGATCCGCTTAAGTACTGTCATACAAATCAAAAGCAGCGGCAGCGAGAACGATCGTTTGCTTTTGTGTAATGGTGGGATGATATCTCCTGACCAGACGTCCTTCCGGAACGATTGTCCAAAGTCCAATCGAGAGCATAAGGACGGATCAGCTGTCTGTCCAACAGTGTCCAAAAAAACGGATTGTCCCGTAAAATTCCATGTCTAAAAAACACCGTTGTTCATTACAACCAATAACTACACATTCTCACAACCCACGTTTCACTTCCTCATCCTAAACAATTTTAACGGGATAGCAGTATGCTCGTGGGCAAGTACGGAGAATCATGGACTTCGACGAAATTAATTTTCAGCAGGTTTCACTGCCAATAAGTAGCAATATAAAACTGCCGCATTGTACGTCTTTTGATTCCAAAGTTATGCAAAAATTCCACAACAATGCCAATGGTTCCGGAATCAGCGTGTTGAGGAGGCCCTCCACACCAAATTTGGAGGCAATCGAGAGAAGCCCTGCAATATAACATTGGGGTGTTACGTATCATAACTCGGAGGTTGCGCAAAATCCTACCCCAAGGACACTGATTTCGGAATCAGCGAGTTGAGAAGGCCCAGTATACCAAATTTGGAAGCAATCGAGACGACCCGCAATATCTAACTGGGGTGTTTACGCGTCGTATAACTCGGAAATTACCCAAAATCCCACCCCAAAGACCGTGAGTTTCGGAATCAGCGTATTAAGAAGGCCCTGCACTCTAAATCTGGAGGCAATCGAGACGCCCCGCAATATCCAACTGGGGTGTTACGCGTCGTATAACTCGGAAGTTATGCAAAATCCCACCGCAAAGACACTGATATTCGGAATCAGCGTGTTGAGGTCTGCACACCAAATTTGGAGGCAGTCGAGACGCCCGCAATATCCAACTGGGCTGTTACGCGCCGTGTAACTCGGAAGCTACGCAAAATCCCACCCCAAAGACACTGATTTTCGAAATCAGCGTGTTCAGAATGCCCTGAATACCAAATTTGGAGGCAATCGAAGCGCTCCGCACGTTGATCTGGCGACGTTACGCGCCTTGTAACTCTGAAGTTACGCAAAATCCCCACCCCAAAGACGGTGATTTTTGGAATCAGCGTGTCGAGAGGGTCATGCACACCAAATTTTGAGGCGATCGAAACGCCCCGGCATATCGAACTGGCAATTGGATATAAACCTGCTGGTGGATGGGCGGACGTTGGGTTCGGCCAAAGCTACGGATAGAAATTGCCTTATTGTGAAGTTTGATAGTGAGCCGTCCTGCTGCAACCTGTGGTTCAGTTTCTTTACAGTTATGGTTTTTGCTTGCCAAAATGATAGCTATGCTAGACAGGTAGGTACATGTTGCATTGCAAGTTCAGAGGAAGCGAGTGTGAAAGAGCCAGAAGTTAACAATGACATGAAAAAATGTGATCAGCATGCAATTTAAAAAGGTTTGTGTAAAGCTTGGGGAGTTGGGCTGGCAAAGGGACCTTTGCACGGATGCTTGGATAGGAGAAAACTCAATAGATATTATTGAGTGTAAACTGGTTTGCAAGATGGGGGAGATTTTGAATAGGTTTCTGTTGGAGCAGAGTTGAGGCAAGAATTGGCATTTGGAGGAGGTTTTGGATTTTCGAGCAGTAATTACTTGATCACAGTTGGTCATTTTTTGGGCAGCTCATGGTACCTTGGGGCTGGTATGAGCTGGCACAGAAGTCTGTTGGGGCCGCAAAACTCACCATGTATGAAAATTAGGAGTGGCCATTTGTAATGGCAGATATCCATAAGACTGTGCGCACCATGTTTGCCATAATGGTGTCATAGTTGCCTTTATCTGCCATTCTAACCCTGTGATCCAGGATGTGACTGCTTGTACAAAATCCATTTAGCTATAGACCAATTTATTAAGTTGAAGCTCTCAACAACTGTCATCAACAGTCTGCAAAGTGGACTTGTACCAGCTTTGGTTGCTTGCACTGAACAGGTAGACCATATACAAACAACCGCACACTAGAGAGGCCAGCTGGGAGTGCGGGGGCTTGGGTATCAGATGTATGATATCTTGTCTCAAGCATTGCACTTGAAATGTTTGAGGTCTGGTATCATAAAGATGTAATGCAAAATAATAGATGTTAAGCTCAGTGTTATTTCAGGCTATCTTGAACAAAGCAGGGGGAGGGAGCAATTGGTGGTCAGTAGGTGAAAATTAGATTATGAGGAAAATCTGAAAGACCCCAGGTCATCAGATCACCAGACCCTGCCCCAAGCAGAGAAGTTGGCTGCCCTATTTGGGGTAGGATTAGACCTGCTGCAAATTTATTCAAGGCCAGCACTGACATATTTTACTAGACTGGTGCCAAAATGCAGGTAAACAAAGCAAGGCCAATTATTTGTGCTCTTAGATGACAAGGCAAACAAGTGAGGTGGTGTCTGTTTACTGCAGGATGGCAATCAATCATGCATGCTGCAAGTGAAGCACAAGTGAAGCTGAACCAAAGGAAACATTCTGATTTGGTTCTTTTGACTTTGTGGTTTGCTGGCCTGTTATGTATATTTCAATTTTAGGTATTTTTGTTGATACTGTCCTAACTTTTGTCTTGCTCTCTCAACATTTTTGTGAACCTATGGTTTGAGAAATCCAAGGTGTCATGAAAGACTATGAAATGATATTTTTTCTATTAAGGAGACTTATCTTGGTATAATTTTTCACCTCTAAATCATTGTTTTTTAACATTGCCTTTGGTAATTAAGAATTCTAATATATTTATTTGAGGGGATTGACTATCTAAACTGTTCATGGTCAGATTCAATCTTGATACAAGGAAGAACTATGTATGCATTTTCGATGCTCAGAACATGTGCCATGGTTTTTATAGGTATTAGGTAAAGCCACCATTTTGTTTTGAGATCTAATTCAATGTTAGTTCACCATGGCACCTCATGTGTGTTTTGAGCATAGTCTCCCACTTTTGTATCAAACTGACCAGACATTGCATTTCAGCTCCCTGCTACAGTTGTCAGCTGCTCACCTGCTGAATGTCAAGTGATTTTGGAGGGCAAGAAGACAAAGGTCAAGGGATATGAGGTCATTCTGGATGACACAATATTATTCCCAGAAGGAGGTGGTCAGGTATGATATGAGTAGGCTGTAGCTGTGCTATTGATTACACCCCACAGAACTTGGCATACAATGGGTAGCAACCAATAAGACATGGCATCATTCACTGCCTTGCCTCAATATGTTGTGTACTTACTCTCAACCACCAAACATTGGCACCATCATAATATCTGTGATGTATTGATTATGATTACAATGCTGAAGCCTTCAGTCATGGCTCCATGCGATGGCACGGAGGCCTTCATTCATGGCTCCATGTGATGGCATGGAGGCCTTCATTCATGCCTCCATGTAATGGCCACATTGCTGCGCTCTCCCTGACGGCCTTGCCTTATGCGTACATCTGGCGTGACGGCAGCCTGACGACCGTGGCACGATCGGCTCGTCGGAGGTGCTGCGCGTCACCAGACGCGGCGCCGAGGCAGTCCACTTCGTCCGTGACCCGCTGACGCCGGGCGACGTGGTGGAGGTCACAGTGGACTGGTGTCGCCGCTGGCACCATATGCAACAACATTCCGGTGGGTGGGTGGGTGTCAGTAGAAGGGGGTAGCATGACCTGGGGGTATGCTGCTGAGCAGCAGTGTGAAGGCAGGGAGGTGGTATGTTGTGGGCTTCCATGTTATCAGTGCTAGAGAGCTGGTATAATGGGTAAATGTGTCGTTACAGATTTGGAGGCCTGGTCTGTTCCAGTGATTTTGAATAGGCAAGGTCCCATATAGGGCCACTGTCATGTAGAAATGGTTGAACTTATACTATCAGGCACCCCTGATCACCTTTTTGCAACCTCCATGTCTTGTATGCTTCAGCTTATGGGAGCTAGCAAAGTTGAGTGTCATGAAATAACTGGCAGAATTGGCATCAGTCATATGGGTTGTGGTGTTGGTTCTGGCCATGTCAGCCAGGGACTGCCTTCGTTGAGCTGGAGCATTGAGCTTTGAGTGTCTTCATTGAACTCAGCAGGCTCGTCATCACCTGAGGCGCCATTGATGTATGCCTCAGGTGGCTCCAGTCATGAAAGCCTCAAGGTGACCCCAGTGATGTACCCTTCATGTGGCTCCTCTGATGTGGCCCAGAGCTGGGGCCCTGAGCTGTGACATGGCGGGCAGTGATGGGCTGACGTCCAGCTGACGTCCCCTCCCACCCTCGCCAGGTCAGCATTTGATCACCGCCGTCCTGGACCAGCTGTATGGCTTCCAGACCACCTCCTGGGCAGCTGCGAGACACCGTCTCATTCATCGAGATCGGTGGGCTGTGCACAGCTAAGGGGAGGCGGGTTGGGTGGAGACTTGCTGAGCCTGGCTCACTAGACCATTGTGCCTGATCTCAATGGTGCTTGTGCTCATATTAGGCATACATTCAGCTGACAGCAACATAGTAAATTTATTATTGTGTTGCATTATTATGTGTTACTCATCAGCGTGATGAATCAGTTACCATTCATAATCGGCTCCTTGTCATGCGGTTATGTCGCTGTTCCTGCCGTTATCGTGAGTTCTTGGCTGCACGCTCGGCGTTGACGTGGTGCGGGCTCTCTTCTGCTGTCAGCCCGGGAGGCTCAGACGCCTCCGGCCCCAGCCCGTACACTCGCCCTGCGATGAGCTACAGATGAGCACGAGAACGTGGCGTTCTCTCTCCGTAACGATCATAACGCACGGGCACGCCTGCGCCGATAGGGGACGTTCGTTATCACGCGTACTTCGCAGCGCCCCAGTGCCATGCCGCGCGCGACTGTCAGTGCTCGCCCGCCCCGTGTACGGCCGCCTCCAATCGGTGCGCTTCCCTTCTGGCCAATCAGACGCCGCCGAGCTGTCACGTGACCAGCTGGAGGCGGCCGAGCGGCGCGCCAATGAGCTGATCCGGGAGGCGCGCCCCGTCCGGGTCACGGTTCACCAGCCCGGTGACCCCCAGCTGGCCGGGGTCAGGGCGCGTGGCCTGCCCGACGACCACAGCGGTCAGTGAAGCGCCACTGACATCGCACATGTGACCTGCGCTGTGCCTTCGTGCGGGGTGTGTGGTGTCTGACCTTTGACATTGCATACAACTGGTTAGGACTTGCGATAGCTAGTTGCAATAGAACTGCCAGTTGACAAGCGTGCTGCGGGTGTAAAGATTTCCTACACGTTCTTCCCGAACTTCATGTTAATTGTGAACATTGGCACATTTTTTGCCTCAAATATCGTTGTTTGGAATGATATTTGCTTTGCAGTGGCTACGATGATCCCCCGCGTGGTTTGTCCGGTTTGATCTTACAGGCGGTATGCCGCCCTTGTACTTTTCACGTAGTGTTAGCTCAGACACGTCGTCGTGTTAGCTCAGACACGTCGTAGTGTTGGCTCAGACACGTCGTAGTGTTAGCTCAGACACGTCGAATTTGATCGGTGATACTAGTTTTCTCGAGATCTTGAATAGCTCAGACTTTCGATTTGAAGTTGCCTCTCCCGCGGGAGAAATCTCATTGGACTTTCTACTCGCTTCTCGCTTTTCCCAACGTATGTTCCCTAATGTTTGGAACACACTAATTTGCGAAGATGACTGTAATAAGCGCTACAAAAGATGGAAACACTCAAGGTAAAAATATATGCAACTTGAGGCTATTATCCCGCGCATTCAACGAAGCGTTAAACTATGGCTTTGATCTCTCCCCTATGGCGTTTACCACATTGGGTCTTATCAAAGTGCATCTTTGGCTTTGGGAAGCGGAGTATTACATGGTCTTAAGTGACACATTGGCTCAAGCTCCAGCCAGTGCACTTCTCGGTGCTTTGCCGTTGCCGCCCGCTGTAGCAATTACGTTCATTTGTACTGGCATCATTCATACCAGTAAAAGTGCCACGCCCGTCGTCAGGGTGACAATGTGTGCGTTTAAAACAGCTCAGCAGGGATACCTCTAACCCGTAACAGCTGACGACGGCCCTCAGCAGATTGTGCCGTTGTCATGACGACCGGCGGTCACTACAGCTGCAGTTGTCGCGGACTCGGGATTACACTCTGGGGCTACCAAGAAAGGGAGGAAGTGTAGTACTGTTGCAAAGCGTTGACAGCGTAATTTGGACTAGAAAATGATAATTATTGATATCATTACGATATCTTCGTAGTGCTGCAGTGGCACTACCCAGCGCTATTATTAGGCTAGGTGGTCCTGAGGTTTCGCCACAACGGGTTTTTGAAACATGTACCAAATATGGGACACTGTGCACTCTGCGTAGTGCCAGACTGGTAGGGCCTAATTTATGTGACATGGTTGACTGTATTGATCCCTGTGAACGCGCGCCGTTTCCTGGCCCGCTCGTATTCGCCTGAGATGTGTCATATTGTCTTGACTACAGTCACCTTAACTGGCCGTACAGCAGAGTATAACTGGGCCCACTCTGCCTCTTGACTTTAGCCAACGCCACTTTGCTGGCATGAAACTAACAACGCCCTAGTGTCACCGGCTGCTCCGAATCTAATACCGCTCTAGTGTCACCGGCTGTTCCGAATCTAACACCGCCCTAGTGTCGCTGACTGCTCCGAAACGAGCACGGCCCTAGTGCCGCCGGCTGTTTCGAATCTAACACCACCCTGGTGCCACCTGCTGCACCGAATCTAACACCGCCCTGGTGTCACCCGCTGCTCCGATTCTAACACCGTCCTAGTGTCACCGGCTGCTCCGAATCTAGCACCGCCTTAGCGTCGCTGACTGCTCTAAATCCATCCTTAACCTGCTCTTGCACAAACGTCTAGTTCTGTCCTTACTCGAAAAGCACTTGCTACACCCTGACTCAAGTCCACATTTTTTTGCCCTGCCCTGCTGTGCCTTAGTCTGCTTTCCTCACCGCGCTTTGCTGTGCTCTGCTGTACTGTGCCCCGCCCCACCCTTCCTTATCCTGTTCGTCTCTATCTGATTGCTTCTGTGCTGTGCTGCTCTTTCCAGCCCTGCCCTGCCCTGCTCTGCCCTGCCGTGCCCTGCCCTGCCCTGCCCTGCCCTGCCCTGCCCTGCCCTGCCCTGCCCTGCCCTGCCCTGCCCTGCCCTGCCCTGCCCTGCCCTGCCCTGTCCTGTCCTGTCCTGTCCTGCCCTGCTCTAATGTCTTCAGCTGTGTTCTGTTTTGTTCTAATCTGCCGCCATCTGTCGCTCGCTGCCAGCCGCCACCAGCCTCAGACTGACCGCTTGCTGCCGCACACAGGGCGCTGTGCGTATCGTCAGCATGGCGGGCATCGACGACAACATGTGCTGCGGCACGCACGTCAGCAGCCTGGCGCATCTGCAGGCCGTCAAGCTGCTGCAGGCAGAGCGGGGCAAGAAAGGACGCACCAACGTCCACTTCGTGGCCGGCCAGCGGCTGCTGGACCACCTGGGCGAGACCGCTGGCCGGGAGGCCCACCTCAACACCGTGCTGAGGTGCGCTGACGGCGGCGATGGGCGCCTGATCACGGAGTCGGGCGCGGCGTGCTGCGGGATGTGTGGGCTCAGAGGCGCTGTGTGCCGGACTCGGCCGTTCCTCTCTGTGCTAGTGTTTGGTCCCTGTGCTCTCGGTGTTGGTCTCCGGTCTCTGTGGTCTCTCTAGTGGTCTCTGGGTCTCTGCGTCCTCTGTGCTGTTGTACTTGAAGGCTGCTGCGGAAAGGGATGGCATGGAATAGGTCAGACTCTCAGTGAGGATGATGGCTGTAAAGAATGGGCAAGGATAGAGCTTATGTTAGAGCAAGGGCGATGATTACAAGCTTTATCTTGAAAAATGCCTCGGATAGTCGTTTACACACAACATAGTTTCAAAACGCTTATCTAAAGTACCTTTCGTTGAATACGTTTTGGTCCGTGATTTTCACGGGCATTATGATACGAAAAGTTACTGCTCTCATGTCGTCAACAGCACTGCCCTCCAATAGCGAAAAGGCTTAAGTTCTGTGCTAATTAATGGTTCTTATGCCTTTTTGCCTTTGGACGGCAGAGCAGCAGTGGTCAGTGAGTAACTTATTGAAGCTACATGCCTGGTAGTTGTGAGCGGTCATCTGTTGATATTATCCAACCACGACACTCATCTCAATGCCTCACATGAGCCTTGACCTGGCATGAGCTTTGACCCCGAAGTCTGTGCACACACACATTGGCCTCAACACATGAGCAACGCTCTGGCCTCAAGGACTGACCTTTAGCTTGGCCCCAAACAGCGAACATTAGCCCTGGCCTCTGACAGGTAGTTTATGTCTTGACATCAGTAGCTGTTGGGATCCCTTCCTCAACAATAAACTTGAAATTATGTCGTGACACGTGATCTGATCCGACCCGATCACTATTGTCCCAGTAGCCGACCCGGCTCTTCACAAAATCATTCAGTTTGAGCCAATCGTTGAGCTCAGAACTAACCTTGAGTTGAAACCCAAACGCTGAGTCCAGTCCACGGGCCCTCATACCCAGCGTGCGCCTTCAGGGCTGTTGCTGACCTTGCCGTGAGCTCAGCTGATGTACGCCGCCCAGGTGTGGTCCTGCCGAGTACGGCACGATCCTGGACAAGTGGCAGCGCTCGCTGAAGACCAGCCAGCGCGCCTGCCGCCAGCTGCTGCGTCAGCTGGCGCAGGCGGAGGTGACGCGCTTCCGGTCGGCGGCGCCGCCGCTCGGCTTCCTCTCGGTCCACCAGCCGGCCGGCGACGCCGAGTTCATGGCCACCGTGGCTGTCGCTGCTCGACGACGAGGTCAGTGACCCCGGCAGGCCGGCCCAGCGGCCGCCGGGCTGCCGCTAACAGGTCGGACGAACGCGGCCACAGTAGGCATGGGTGGGCATTGCGGGGTGTTACCGGTCAGTGTATACTCTCCGTATTCCGTGTCCTTGTGAAAAAAAACTTCACTTCGGGCCGTCAGACAGCAGCGTGTGCAAAGGCCACCGTTATCCTGTCACTGCAGACCATGTCCCCAGGCTATGCTGTACGCGACGGAAGCTGTGGTTGCTTGGTCAGCCGGACGTATTCGTCAACTTACCCGGCGGCGTGTCCTATTTTGTTCCTTGTCAGACTCATGTGTTTGTTGGGATGGTCTGAAGTCTTCGAAACCTTCAGTACCAAGTGTCTGATCCAAGTGTCTGAGTGTCATGGCCTCCCATACCCCTCGCCCAAAGACCAGCCAAACAATGACAACCAGCCAACCGAAGACTCCAAACAACGTGATCTCGATGTGTCCTCCAGTGGCCAGCTGCCTGACCTCGGCAGCGTGCGGGTGCAGCGGTGTGACGCCGGTGACCGGTGTGATCCACAGACGGTACTGGCGGTGGTGACGGTCGGGGGCGAGGACGGCGGCGCCGGCTCCCTCCTGGTGCGCGGCCCAGCCGAGCTCGTCAGCCGCGTCGCGCCCAAACTCTGCCAGCTCATGGACGGTCAGTGGTCCTCAAGCTCACACCGCCGCGACACCCGCCCAGGCGAGAAGTAGCGTCATGGCATCTCCGGCGTCGACAGAGGACCTCTGGACGCTTGCCCAGTGGTGCGCCGAGCTGCTTGGCGCGAGCGTGTTACCACGCTAACCCGCGTGTGATGCGGATCGAGGCGACGGAGGAAGGCCAGGCCATTTTTTCAGGTGTTTGCTGATGCACGCGTCTTGACGCAGATAAGCAGCTGCCTCTTTCAGCGCGTTTGTGGCAGCCTGGCAAATCAGCATTCAGTAAGCGCGTCGGATGTGTCAACGAATCGTTTTGTGAGTTCCCGTTGCACACACGGAGTTGGGGACCGTCCAAAAAGGCGGGCATTTTCCCGACACCCGTGGCTGGATTTGCATGAAACTGCTAAAATGTGCTATCATTGATGGAGTGCACCGAAAAGCTTGTGTTTCGTGACCGTGCGCACTATTTCGCGGTTTTGGGGAGTTCAAAATGATCACTGACCACCAGACATCGCTTTTTCCACTGATGCACCTTAGATGTTTGCTGTCTGAACTGCCATCAACCACTTCTTCTTCTAGGCGATTTGAATGCGCATGACACTGTTTGGGGGTGTGACGTCACCATTGCTTGTGGGAGGCTGTGTGGGAATTTTATCCACTGTGCTTTACTATGTATTTAAACACAAGAACTCGTTGCACATTTTACAATGTCATCCGGTGAGATGTCAGCGCTAGACTTAAGCCTCTGCAGTCCCAGCTCGTCCAACACCCTCGAGTGGAGTGTCGGAGATGACCCAATGGGAAGTGACCACTTCCAGTGTGGGTTCGGTTTAAGAGAGATGGAACGTTGGGTGTTGGGCCACAGCGCTGGAATTTTAAGGAAGCGGAGAGATGCGAATTTGAGACGGCTTGAAGAATCATTGTAACTGAGCCTGATAGGACGCCATCCACTATGAGGATTTTACTCACAGACTTTTAGAGTGTGCGAACAGGTGTATCCCACGCACGTCTGGCGCTCCCCGACGTACTCCTGTTCCGTGGTGGGCGGAGGAGTGTCGGAGCATCATCCAGGAGCGTAAACGTGCGTTTCGGGCTTTGGCGCCAGGAGCAGTGTGGAAAATCTGATAGCCTTTAAGGAGGCGAGAGCTTTTGCTTGGCGCACTGTAAGGGAGGCGAAGCGTGCTTCCTGGCATGCTTGCGGAAGGACGCTGAACCGGCTACGCCGACATCGCAGGTTTTGTCTCGGATCAAGCGTATATCGGGGGAGTTTTCATCCATGCCTCTTCCGGTACTATGTGTGAACGGACAGGTCCTGACGCGCCCGTTGGATGTTACGAACGAGATTGTCCGGGCGCTGGCCCGCCGCAGCGTAGGTGGCAACACTAACCCACAGTTTGTGCGGCATCAAATGCAGCGTGAACAATCTGCAGTGGACTTTTCGACGAGCGCACTACATGCCTATAATGATCCATCCACCCTGGTCGAGTTGGAATCGGCGATTGCCAAGCTTCGCAGTGTGTGTGTGAAGGTCCGGACACTGTGCACAACGACATGTTCAAGCATTTGCCGCCTTGCGTGCTTCGCGGTCTTTTAGCGGTCTTTGATGGGCTATAGACCAGTGGTGACTTTCCAGTCTCTTGGCGAGAAGCTACTGTCGTTCTTTTTTTAGAAACGGATAAAAGTGGATTATTAGATCCCTTACATTATAGACCCATTTCTCTCACTTCATCGCTCTCTAAGTTAATGGAGAAGATCGCTTATGACCGTTTAACTTGGTTTCTAGAACACCACGGCGGTTTGGCAAACGCCCCAGTATGGTTTTTGAAAGAATCGATGCACAGTGGACGATCTTTTAGTTCTCGACACTGCGATTCGTATTGGATTTAGAGCAAACCGACACAAAGGCGCAGTGTTCTTGACATAGAGGGCGCCTATGGCACCGTATGGCGTCAGGGCATTCTTCTCAAGCTATACAGGTATGGTATACGCGGCAATATGGGCACCTTCAGAACTTTTAAGTTGACCGTCCTTTCCGTGTCCGTGTTCGGGACGCGCTCTCTGAGAGGCATCTTCAAGTTAACGGTATGCCCCAAGGCGGCGTTCTCAGCGTAGCTTGTTCGTCGATATGATAAACGACATCGGGATTGGGCTGCCGCAGTCTGCAGGTCGTGCCTTTGTTGATGATGACACCGTTTGGACTAGCGCAGCAAGAGTACCATCGATGGAGCGCCAACTCCAGTTGGCTGTGGACCGTGTTGAGAAGTGGGGTACCATGAACGGGCTCAAGTTTTCAAGTAGTAAGACTGTAGCCATGCATTTTCGTCGTAGCCGGGAATGCGGTGACCTGTCTATCCGTATGTATGGACAATGCATTCCAACTGGGCCTGTGGCTAGGTACCATAGGGTATACTTTGACCGCCGATTAACATATGAGGCACACCTTAAGGCGCTACGTGAACGCTGTTTTAAATCTTTGAACGCGCACATCGTGTGGAGGGGATCGGAGCACGCTTTTGCTGCTGTATTTTTGCTGCTGTGTCGGGCAATCATACGCTGTAAGCTGGACTATGCATGTTGTATTTATGACAGCGCGTGTGAATCCGCAAAACGCATCATTGACACCATCCATCACACTGCTTTACGTGCCATCACAGGGGCGTTCCGTACATCTCCTACCTGAAGCCTTGTGGTAGAATCGCACAAGCCGCCGTTGTCAGCGAGGAGAAAATGGTAGGCATGCGTGGTGCACTTAAGTTGCGACAGCTCCCGTGGCATCCCGCATATCTCGCAGTTTTTCGCGGCCTGCTGTGCCTTTTTTTCGCCATGCACCTCGGGCGCACGCTGTGACCTTTTGGCTCCCGGATACCTTAAGCTTAAGCCTACGGAAAGCCTTACTGCGGGAAAACGAAACTCCCATTGGAAGGGTGAAGCGATCAGGTCATCTGTGCACTCATCCCTGGCATTTGATCTCGCCCTCAACAGACACATCGCTGACTGAAATGACAAAACAGATGTATCTCTGCTGGATATAATGAAGTCCAGAGCGCTTGAACGTATAACGTAATATGAGGGTTACACATACCTACACAGACGGCTCTAAAACTTCTGATGGTGTAGGCTGTGCGTTTGTGAGCGGTGGCGTCACCCGGTCGTTTTGATTGCCCCCAAAGGCGTCGGTGTTCACATCGGAGCTCGTAGCAATTATTAAGACACTGTTTTATTGAAGTCGGTGACGAACCTTTACATCTCATTTTGACGGACTATTTGAGCAGCGTTCTGAGTGTGAAGTCTTCTTATCCATTATGTCCCCTTATACAGGACATTTTAATACGTTTGACTCAACCGGCTCAGGCCGGAAAGAAAGTCATGCTATGTTGGATTCCTAGTCGCGCTGGAATCACGGGCAACGAGTTGGCTGACGCGGCTGCCAGGCGAGCAGCGCTGGCTCCATGTGTTTGCTCTCTTTCTACTCCTGCCAGAGACTTTTACCCTGCAATAAAAACCTTCCTGCACAACAAGTGGCAGCGTTGTTGGGATCGGGTGGATGTTAATAGGCTTAGAGCGATAAACCCTAAGCTGGGTCAGTGGTTCTCTTGTTTCCGCGAAGTGAGGCGAGAAGAGGTGGTCCTGTGCAGACTACGTATCTGGCACACAAACGCAACCCACGGCTATATGTTGGAGGGAGCCGATAAACCCATCTGCCATCGATGTGGTGCTGTCCTTGCCGTTCGCCATATCCTTATATCTTGTCTACGCCTCGTGGAAGAACGCCAACGTTACTTTGGACAGCATGAGTCTCCCCTTGCCCTCTGTGATATGTAAGGAGACATCTCACAGTTTCTTGAATCTCAGCAGATCTTTTTGTTTCTCAAACACACCAACTTTGGGACCATTTATGCGGCTCATTACTTAGGTAAAACAAAACTCGTTATGGGCGCCAAATGACCACCGCAGTCGGCGCGCCCGTAAACTCAAATATACAACAAAAAAATGCTCACTGAATTCCGTGCTAACGAACCATTGGGACTCCGACATTTTTGGACAATAGCGCATTTTTATCTTCTTTTTTATATGTCTGTTTTGGCAAGTGCGCATTTTTAGTGTTTGGCAAGGGCGCATTTTTCAATCTACTTTTTTGTATGGGTATGTTTGATTTTGAAGCTCAAAATTATTGCGGTCGAATGTTAATTCATGTCACAGATAATAGGGGGCACGCGGGCCCTTAGTGCCCCCCCCCCTTCCCTGCCCTCGTTAAATTCACCACTGCCCCCAATGCGTGGAAACATATTGCATGCTTCCCTGATTCAGTTGGGCTTTATCAAGAACGTTCTGTTGACATTGCAACGACTCTGCGGAAGTTTGGCCGTTGCGTGGACGCGTTGGGAGGCGTGTATCCCAATAGTGGTCCTTCGATTAAGGGAGTGCTATGGTGTGTACGGTTGGCAACGTATGAACTCGCCAACAGCAATCCCAATATCCAGGGCCCCGAGGTCCTGGGTCTCCCCACGCCTGCAGAACAGTGTCCCGAGATGTGACCTTGACCTCTTCCATGCTTGCAGAACAGTATCCTGATACGTGACCTTGACTTCTCCTGTGCTTGCAGAACAGTGGCCTGAGATGTGACCCTAATCTCCCATGTCTGTAGAAACTTGTCCTGAGATGTGGTCTTCACCTCTGTCATGTTAGCAGACCATGTCCCAAGATGTGACCTTGACCCCTTCCCGGCCCGCAGAACAGTGTACAGGAGTTTGACTGACCGCTCCGTGCTCACAGGCAAGGGGGCCGGGAAGAACGGCCGGTTCACCGCCAGGCTGGCCTCCCTGAAGCGACGCCCCGAGGCCGATGACGTCATACGACAAGAGATAACATCGGGCGAGAGCTGAGCGGTGTCCCTATGGGCAGTGGGAGCGTCATCTGACCGATCTGTCACTGGCTGATAACTGAGTGACGTCATTGTCGAGGGGCTGTGTCATTGGTGGATGTCGCGCGTTGGCGGAAAACAATTGACCGGTGTCAGATTTGCTCAGTGCATTGTCATTTGTCGGGATGGGCAGTCGCTCCCCGCGTGCAATAGTTACTGCCTTCAAAGTGATCGCTATGGATTACCAGTAGCCATGACTAGGTTGTGTTTCTGTTTCTCATGCTGATCACGGTGCGGATTACAAGCAGCCGTGGATATATTGTGCTTCTGATTCTCATACTGATCACTGAGTGGATTACAAGTAGCCATGGACAGATCGTGTCTCTGCTCCTCACCGATTCAGTACAAAGCTATCGGTCACCGCGGGCGGTTATCGTCAGTTGCGCCGCTTTTGACTAGAAAGATGGGGCCGGATGCTTTTCATCAGCATAAGCATCGCGTGCATGCCTCTGGTTGTGATAAACGGTTCACTCAGTCATAGCGTGTCTTAGGTCTTCGCTTGGTTGACATTGAGCGTAGTGGCCTGAGGTGGGGGCTTTCTGACGTAAAGAAAAATAAATCGATGAAACTCCATGGGGGGGGGGGGGGTAGATTACCAGACCTCAGCAAAACAAATTATTCCCGGTGTGTGTGTTGTGTGTGTGTGTGTGTGTGTTGTGTGTGTGTGGTGTGTGTGTGTGTGTGTGTGTGTGGCGCGTGCGTGCGTGCGATGCTGAGCGTTGCGTGCGTGCGTGCGTGCGTGCGTGCGTGCGGGCGGGCGGGCGGGCGGGGCGTGCGTGCGTGCGTGCGGGCGTGCGTGCGTGTGTGTGTGTGTGTGTGTGTGGTGTGTGTTGCGGCATTGACAATTGAGTTCTACATGGGAGAACCCTAACAAAATAGTTGCCCATGTCCCCTCCCCTCCAAAGATATGTCTTCCCATCCGACCAATGCACATCCAGACTCTTGACACGAAGCGTTGTCAATTTTTCCTACTTTTTGCTGCACGGGGCCCTGGGAATGATGTCGTGAAACAACGGCTTGATGGGAGCGAGAGCATAGTCCGATGATTTGGCGTGACAGGAAATCAAGTGCACGCCAAGTGCAAAACGTGTCTGCATCGAAGTAGCCGAACACTGAGGATGACTACGACTTGTAGGAAAGCTTAAAAGCTCGGGAGCCAAAGCCCCTTTAAATGTACCATTTTCATGCAAAACAACAGGGTACACAGGTAAGCCTTCACGAAAATCGAGGGAACATAGGTCCTCCCCATTTCCAGCCTCCCGCGTCTGTGGTGGTGTACTGAGGGATTCGGGAGATATATCCTAAGAAACCACGCGGGTTACAGCTACCTTGTACTTGCTTGGGAATACGAGACCGTGTGCTAGCTGTGACAAACATTTTCCTGTGCTCGCTGGGGCGCACGAGGCCGTGTGCTGGGTGTGGTGTACCTTTTTCTCTACTGGCCGTAGCGTGGCGGCGATTTGTCGACATATAGCTTGTTCCGGCTTCTCACAGGACAGTTATTGTGTGTATCATAAGCTGAGGGCCATTGGTCTAGTGTTTTGGGACTCGTCTTAGGCACACCCGGCTATTGGTGGCCGGTTTCTTGCAACTAAACCAAGGCTGCGGGACTTGCATATTGGGCCGTTTTCACTACAACAATCACCTGTTGAACGTCCAAAAAATGAATTCTATCCAAAAAGATGTCCATAAAACGTCAGAACTAATAATCCATTACGCACGCGTATAATGCGGATAACACAGCATTAAAAAGAGATATTTCCCTAGTTTTAGCTACATTTTTGTATGCACTGCCCGTATGAATGTGACGAAATTCTCGCGAGACTATAGCTAAAGAAGATGTAAATCTAAAATATAGATAAACGGCTTCAGCGCAATTGCACATTTCCTTAGCCAACATCATTGCATACCGCGAATAAGTCATTCCAAAAGGTCAGTGCAACTAGAACACAAGATGAAGGGATCTGTTTTTAGTTTGCTGATATACGTTACATGCGGTTTTGCGCGATCTAACGTAGGTTCAGAACACGACGGCCTGAAAAGGAATTTAAACGGAGCGCCATCTCTGAACTTAACCCGTGTTAATGTTCCACGTCATATCAGTTCGCCGCAGAAGACAAAGGAAGCAGCTAAACTTACAGTAGGTGAAGCAGCATTGGGTGTGCGACGTATGCAAGGAAAGCGCAAAATAGAAATGTGTGATAGAACGTGGCGTCATGTTGGCCATTGGTGCTACAAACCAACTAACAGAAAAATTGAAGCTTCGGAGATGGCCTATCTATGCTGGCTAATGGGATCCTCATCTCCTGTGATTATCGGCAACAACTTCGACAATTTGCGCTTCGCGCATTACCTGCGGAAAATAGGGCTCAAAGAAGCCTGGGTTGCGCGCTGGAGTGCTGCGGAGGGCTTCGTGGGCGTTCTCACGAAACAGACGTGGGCGGAGTGGTGGAGCTGCAAATTTGACGTATGTAACTGCCATACGGTGCGGGCGTCCGATGCCAAGTGGGTGCGGCGATTCTGCCAAGCTGATTCGCCCACGTTCCGCGGTATATGTCGCTACAGACCAAAGATCAAGTGGGTCGATGATGTTGGTGAAACATAGCTTCCGTCCGTGAATACATATTTCCAGTCAGGGGTGTCAGTTTTTTGGTACAGTTGGGGCATCGGTCAGTACGGTAGACCAACGTATTCCGAAAGCCTGTTTCCCCCCGGATTTGGACCATTCGAATTTGCGTTCCAGATTTAAACAGCGTTTTTTTTTTATAAAGTAGCCGGATGATAAATTCTTCTGTTCGAGAAGTTCGAGCCTGCCACTGTCCCCTCAACTCATACCGCACGCTGGTTTACAATTACTCAAGCTCACAAGACACTCTATTATCCAAGAACCACATAGCCGTCTCATGACCTGCCACACTCTCCCGACGTCGTTTCTCGCGAGAGCCGACCGCGCCGCTGGTCGCGCCGCGCCGAGCTCACCCGGCGCCACCAATAATCACGCTGCATGCATTCTGATGACAGCCATGTTCCAACCAATCAGAGACCTGCTCCGATCAAGCCGGAGCCATCTTATGGGACACGTCAGTGGCGAACATTGCTTAACACAATTGTACAAAATCACGATCTCAGCATCCATCAGAGAGAGGGAGGGAGAGAGAGAGAGAGAGAGAGAGAGAGAGAGAGAAGAGAGAGAGAGAGAGAGAGAGATTTATATACATATACATACTCCTCTCTCTCACTCCCTCTCTCTCTCTCTTTCTCTCTCTTCTCTCTCTCTCTCTCTCTCTCTCTCTCTCTCTCTCTCTCTCTCTCTCTCTCTCTCTCTCTCTCTCTCTCTCTCTCTCTCTCTCTCTCTCTCTTTCTCACTCCCTCTCTCCCCCTCTCTCTCTCCTATTTTCTGCTGTGCCAAGACCCAGAAACGATACCATGGTTTGATGGGAGCGAGAGCATGGTCCAATGATGTGGCAAGGCAGAAAGTCAAATGCACGTCGAGTGCAAAAAGTGTAGACACCAAAGCAACCGAAAGTCAGGCATGACCACGAGACATAGGAAAGCTTACAGATTCGACAGCCAAATCCCCTTTTCAATGAATGATTTCCATGCAGCACAACAGGGTTCACAGGTAAGGCTTCACGGAGATCGGGGAGCCATCAACCCTCCCATTCCCAATTTCCTAAAGCTGTGGTGATGCACTGAAGGGTTCGGGGGATATCTCTGAAAAATGCACGTGGGTTGCATCTACCTTGTACTCGCCAGGAAATACGAGACCGTGTGCTGGGTGTAACGTATCTTACTTTATATTGGTTAGGTCACGAGGCCGTGTGCTAGCTGTGACAAACACTTCCCTGTGCTCGCTCGGGCACCCGAGACTATGTGCTAAGTGTGGTGCACCTTTTTCTCCACTGGCTGTCATGTGCGTCGGCGATTTGTCAACATATGGCTTGTTCCGGCTTGTCATAGGGCAGTTATTGTGTGTATGCTAACCTGAGGGTCACTGGTCCAGTGTTTTGGGACCTGTCTCATGTACACGCCATTATTGTTTGCCGGTTTCTGGCAACCGAACTAAGGATACGGCGCTTACGTTTTTGGCCAACTTGACGACCTCAGCCAGCTCGCGAATGTCCAAACTGTGAACGCTATCCAAAAAAGATGTCCAGAAAACGCCAGAACTGAAAATCCATTATGCACGCGTACAAAGCGCATAGCAGAAAACTAAAACGAGATACTTCCATATTTCCATCAACATTTGTGTATGCACTGCTGCATATGAATTTGACAAAATTCTCGTGAGACCATAATTAAAGACATATAGAAAAAAACTTAAGTCAAATTGAAAGTTGCACGGGAAAGTGGATATAACTTCAGACCACAACCAATTGGTCACAAACCTCTCGCACATTGTATTGAGCACTATTCAGTGGCATTTTAAGAGCTCGGTGCAACTGATATACAAGATGAAGGAATCTGTTTTTAGTTTGCTTATGTACGTTGCATGCGGTTTTGCAAAAGCTGCCGTACTTTCAAAACACGACGGCATCAAAAGCAGCCCAGACGGATTGTCATTTCTGAACACAACTATGCCAAGTCATATCAGTCCGCCGCAGAAGACAACGGAAGCAGCCAAGCCTACTGTTGGTGAAGCAATATTGGGTGTGCGACGAATGCGAGGAAGGCGCAAAATAGAAATTTGTGATGAAACGTGGCGTCATGTTGGCCATTGGTGCTACAAACCAACTTACAGAAATATTGACGCTTCGCAAATGCCCTTAGTTTGCTGGCTGATGCGATCCTCATCTCCTGTTGTTATCAGCAACAGGTCCGACAATTCGCGTTTTGCGCATTACCTGCGGACAATGGGGCTCAAAGAAGCTTGGATATCACACTGGGGTGTTCCAAAAGGTTTCGTTGGCGTTGTCACAGAACAGACATGGGGTGAGTGGTGGAAATGTCTGTTCAACTTTTGTGACTGTCATACGGTACGAGCGTCCGATGGCAAGTGGGTGCGCCGATTCTGCCAATCTGATTCGCCCAAGTTCCGCGGTATATGTCGCTACAGACCGAAGACCAAGTGGGTTAGGTGATGGTGGTGAAATATAGCATCAGTTAGTGAATAAATGTTTTTAGACAGGGTTATCAATCTTTAAAACGGGCTTTGAACTCAGCCGATAGGGTCCACCAACGTATCCCGAAAACCAGATTTCTCCCCGGAGTTCGGCCCCTTGAATGTACGTTTTGGATTTAGATATCACCTCTTAAAAAGTAGTGGGATCATAGATTGCTTTGCGGAAGAATGGCTTCTAATTTCACATCATGGGGGCTATAAAACCACGCATTCGAAGAGCCCATAGGCCACAAGTACTTCCACAATAACTTCCATTTCCAGCGCGTGTAAAACTGCAGTTTCGTGATAAACTTATTAATGCGTACAAATTACAGAAAA